TGTGTCAAGTCTACTGCAAGCTGGAGTCCTGACCTGCTACATTCTGGATGCATTACTTTTTAAATGTTATTAAAAAGAAAGGGAGAAACTTGTTTCAACCCTAAAAGTAGGCACTGTCAAGTTAAATGTCACTACAATATGATAGTTGAAGCTAGGGCTTTGGGATTACCCAGATCACTACTTAGAACCCAGTTTTGCACTTAAATACAAAGGAGCTTCAAAAACATGGTTGAACATTTTCATTACTTTTTCATTCCATTTGTCCAAGAACATTTTTTGAAGTCCACTCGTATGTAACCTAAAGCAAGTCATTCAATTTTCTGATATCATATGCAAAAAATGGCACAAGAAATAACTTCTGTTCAATACTCACTCTCAGGAAGGGAACAAAGAAGATATGGGTGCTATAGCAAAATGTGGGGAAAGAATTTAGATGGTGCCCAGCTATCAGATAAAATAGTGTCTGGGGTCTTAAAGGCTTGTCTCAAAACAAGCAGCCACCTAAATGAGACGTCAACTAAGTCCACAAGAAAGGAGCACACTATCATCAGTCACCAAAGGATTGGAATCTATATAATTGGAAGCCAAAGGAGGGATCCGTATCAGAACCTAAATTGTGAGAATCCGGTGTGCAGAAGGCGATGGATGACAGTGGGAGCCCAAGACTCACTGGTGGAACTACATAGGAAATAAGCCTCCAGAGACTCCCCCTTAGCTAAAATTCAGGGATGGGAGGAAAGGGGTCAGTCACCAAACTGAGTGCTTGGGAGAGAGGAGGAGTATGGTAGATCAAAGGTATAAATCTGACCTGAACAGTTAAAACTGTGTCAGTAGACACCCCCTGTGATGCAGGCTGGACCTGATCTGGTTTTCACAATTTGTTATTTGTATTGTTTTCTGTGGTTTTTGTTCATTCATAGTAGAGTGTATCTCAGAGGTGTTATGTCGATGGAGCTGTGTTATATGCTTTCTGCTTTTCAATATATGAAACCCAGGATCGATGAACCTATAGGGACAGCAAGTAGAATAAAGGGGGAGGGTGCTACGGGGGTGAGAGGATGAAAAGGGGGGGGGGGGATAGCAAGTGTCAAGGAGTCCATGTAGAAAAAGAATGGTTGGAAACTGACTGTGGTAGCAATTGTACAATTCTACTTGACATGACTGAAATATGGAATGATGTTACATGTTTAAATCCCAGCTAATAAAAAAAAGAAATAAAGAAAGAACTTCTACGGGAAGGATTAAATGGGCTAATCTAGTGCCTAAGGACTAACATACAAAAGCAAGTTACATACACAGTAAAGCCTGAAAAAGTCAGAAACTAAACAAAGCAGAAACCTGTCAGAGAATGGTAAAAAAGGTGGCCAGACTGCACCCTGTAGGCCTAGAATGTTCATGACTGGGAAAATAAGTACAGGTTTCACTCCACTGCTATTAACACTAGTACCAGTGAAGTTTGATCAAACTGATACTCTACTTGCTCCGATATAACCAATCGATTCATTGAATATGGGCATCAGAACCAAATTAGTTTACTCAGTGCAGCTTGTTCAGAGAGCCAGATATCCCAATTTAACTGTTCTTTAAAATATATATGGCTTTCACACTATTTTAAAGTGATCACATTTTTTTAAGAAGCACTATGGGTTTGGCTAATTCATACACACATACATACTTGTGGCTCAGTTTGGATTTGGGGTCACAGGCCACTTCCATTAGGATCCCTATGTCTTCAGCAGTACATGAGCTCCTTGAGAACAAGGAACAAGTCTGTGTTACTCCCAGCATAAGTATTGGCCCTGGCGCACACTAACTGTTCAGCAAACATTCATGGAATTAAATTTGCACAAAGACCACTCAGCTGGACTTGTTTTGGCAAAGGGATTTCTTTTTGTTTGTTTGGGGTTTTGCTGTTGTTGTTGCTTTCTTTTTTCTATTAACTATTAACTTTTTCTATAGATAATTGGCAGGTTTTATGACTGGTTGGTTGGTTGGTTGGCTGGTTGGTTGGCTGGGTTGGTTGGTTGGTTGGTTGGTTTTCAAGTTATTTATGACTAAACAAATCACAATCCAAATAGCAATGGTCCAAGCTTCCACAAACAAAAATAAAGTGAAAAAAATCTAGAAATGGTGGCATTCCTTTGCAAAAGAAAGAAAATGAGTTCTAAAACTTGGCCAACTATTGGGTTCAAATACTAGCTCCCCCACTTTAAAAAATGTTGCCGTCAAATCAATTACAACTCATAGCAATCCTGTGGGTGTTGGGATAGAATTCTATTCCAAAGGGTTTTCAACAGCCATCTTTTTTTAGAAGTAGCTCATCAACCTGTTCTTCCACAGTGAGTCTGGGTAGATTTAAAGCATCAACTTTGCGTAAGCAGCCATGCTGGCCCCTAACTGTGCACCACCCAGGGCCTCCACCACCAACTACTTATGTAAATATGACCGTGGGTCAAACCACACACATCACCTGTAAGACTCAGTGTCCACATCTGAACAACGCAGGTAACACCTTCCTTGGGGTTGTCACAAAGCTAATGTACATCAAGCATCAAATACAGTTGGTAGTAAGAGCTTTTTAAGTATCTGATATTCCTCTCACAGATGACAGACTACAGTGGCCCGTTCCTTCTCTTCTCCACAACCACTCACGGCTGTTGAATTGATTCCCATGCATAGCAACCTGATAGAACTGAGAACGCTTCCCAAGCTGAAAATGACTTCCAAGGCTGAAAATCATTATGGAAGCGGATTGCCCCATCCTTCTCCACAGGACAGGCTAATAGGTTCAAACCATCAACCTTTCAAAACTTGGTAACAGATGTGCAATGTCAAGAAAGAATGATCTCTGTGATACAACAAAGAGGTGGCATATACGAAAAGAGGTACTCTTTTGAAAAGCCCAAGACCAAATTAAGTCATTTAATTTAATGCTGCTTCGAGACTAGAGGTAGAAAGGAAGAACGCTGGCAGCAAAGCAATACATAAATACCAATGGGCAGAGAAGAAGGCAATCTTTCCAGGCTCGTTGTTGCATCTTTACTTGCAATTGGCACATGGAACAAAACCAAATAATGATTTGCCTATTCCAATCGGCTGAGTACATATTTTATCCTGCAGTATATCCTTAATTATGTACCTGGAAAAATAAAAACCTAAGTAAACAAAATCTTCAACACTCCTTTAAAGACAAGCCTGCTTTCATTCACTGAAATGAAGTCCAATCAAGGTAAAGCTCCAATTTTCACTCTTAAATGACTTTCCCTGGGAAAAACGAGTCTAAAAAAACTTTTAACATATCTGGATTTCCATTTTTTGACAAAGCAGGAACCAATATTTTCTCATCCTGCTCATCCTACCTCCCAAAATTCACAATACTCAGTTGCTAAAATAAATTGAAAAATACTTTCCATTGATCAATTACTTTTAACAGAAAGTTAGTACAAAGAATCTGTACTCCCAACCTCACTAAGAACTACAATACTTCCTCAACTTCAATTTCCAGTTCTAGGAGAGAAAGCAAAATGAGAAAGCCCGCGAAGCTTAGCATCACTAACATACAAATAAGCATTTTCAGGAAAATAGAGACAGAGATACACAATTACTATCATGCAAATGTGCACTATAACACAAGAAGGGGACCACAGGCAATCATGTCTGCCATGTGAAGAACAGCTTGTTAAAGTACCACGGCATTCAAGGACGTCGTTTGTCCAGACTCCATAGAGTCATAATGCTGAGCCTCACTGACAGACTCATTACCGGCCCTAAGAGTTATAAACTTCACTTTTATATAGAATCCATGACACCTTGGCCTTATATAAAATTTGTTCTACAGGAATTTATGTTGAGGCTCCAATACAGTTTTCTAAATAAAGCAAGTTGAATCATTAACTACAACACCAGTGGTTCTCAGAAAGTTTGCCAATTAATAAGAAAATAATAAAATGCCCGACCAGCCCCAAAGGAAGGAACTTTTCCTCCTTCCTGGCTCCCTAGCTCCACTTAGAGATTGTCAACCTGAACAGAAAGATAACCTTGGAAACCATAAAGTCATCCACGCCGTCAATAATACTCTTCTAGTCATTCCCGAATATACGCCATTTTCCTGAAGCAAGGTGGTCTCAACAGGATGCCAGAAAGTTAATACTGCTTTTTAAAAGACAAATCAAACTGTCTGGGGGAAAAAATGAAAAATTACTATTGAGACCATACTTAAACACATGCTTTTTCTCTAAATGAAGCATCCCAAATAAAGTCACACCGTTTTCTGCCTTAGCGCTCTTAGAACCCACCCACCAAGTGAGGTGCGCTCTGTTGCACTCCTATGAACAGCTTTTCCGGGGCAACCATGGTCTCCAGCCCCACCCCCCACCCCAGTGCCCCCCAAAGTTTTACTTTATCTGTGAAATTCTCTGCCGGCCTCGGCCTGGAAAAGTGGGAGAACCTCAGGATAAGTGTCCGAGTTGGCCTCAGGAGCGACTCAAACTGACTGCTATTGGCAGCATGAAGCTGTGGTCTGTATCTACTTCAATTTGAGGCTTTTACCAGAAGTGATTCCCTCCTCCCTGTTTGGAAGGGAGGAGAGAAAACAAGCCAAAAGATGTTTCAAAATAGAAAAACCATCACTTCAATTAGCAAACCCTCCCAACCCTACAAAGAACTAGTAAAGGCAGGCAAATGGAAAATGTCGTATTTGGGGGTGTGCATGCACAACTACCGAACATGAGAATCGCAACTTCAGGGGGTGGGAGTATTAAAAAAAAAAAAGCAGGACCAGAAAAGGAAGGGGGAGGGATAATAGGGCCCAGCCAAAGATCCATTTTGCTCAGAAAGATCCCTCTGGGTACTAACTCCTCCATGTGGGGCACCCAGGCTAGAGGAAAGCAGAGGGTTACACAGAACATTTAGCAGACTTAACATTGGATTAAACGTAAGTTTCAACAAATGTTCATGGCATACGTAAAAAACACATTTACAACAAGAAAGAAGAGAGGCACCTGGAGACATCTGACACTGGGCATGCTCTGCAGGCAACTCAGTGCGCACATGCTCTCTACCAGGTTGGCGCAGCCTAGCCACAAAGACCTTGGCACAGAACACTGCAGGATGACAAAAAGGAAGGAAGAGAAGAAGCAGTTAGAGGCCGCAACAAATCACTCCTTCACACAGGCAACTTGAAGGTTAGTTGGGGCAGGGGTGTGCGCTCTTGGCAGTGTGGGCATCAGGGATAGTCCCAGATAACAGCATATGGAGACCTCTGGAAAGGGGCCCACGTTCTGTCTGGAAAGGAAGTTTCTGTTGCCAAACAGTGATTTCTCAGGATACAGTGGACAGAATCAAGAGAGTGAGAGAGCGTGTTTAAATGAAACACCATTTAAAAGGATTGCGAGACTTTGAGTGCAAAACAAGATTATCAGTGAGACTGTAATTAAAGCTTCATAAAAGTAATGATTTCTGAATTGCCAGTATCAGTTAACAAGCTACTATGTGCCAGGCACTTAACGTGTGTTGTCCACAGTGTGAAGAAACTGAGTGCAGAGGGTAGGTGATTTCCCTACAATGTATACAGCAACTGAGGGCAGTCTGAATTCTAGCCCGGAACTGCCAGCTACCAACACTCACATTGTTCCCACAAGACTATGATGCCCCAGTTGCAAAAACTGTTTACCTCTACTTTTTCCAAATGAGTATAGCTTTGTACAATCACAGGAGATCTAGAAACATACAGCAAAATGAAACAAGAGAGATGAGCGGTAAGACTGATCGACACAGGCAAATAAAAGCTGATTGAAAACACTTCTGTTGTCAGTGCTATACACACCTCTGCCTTCCTAAGGAAAACAAACTTTAAAAGGCATTTTGCATTCTGGATCCTGTTGCAGGTGGCATGAATATGAAACGCTTATTTCATTTATCCTTCCCCATCCTCTGAAAATATTTCTGGCTTTAAGGGAAGTAAGAAATAAATAAAATCTCAAAATGAATGTGTACATTATAGATAGTACTTAATGACCATTAGACTATTTATGTTATGGTATTCAAAAATTATTTTTTCAGATCTAAGATCAATTAACTTACTATAGCAAGGACTATAATCTTGAAAGGGAAAAAAATAAAACTGGAAGTGGGTGTTTGGATTCGACGAAAATAATCCAGGACTCTTAGATCCAAGCATGCCAACACCACTTCTTCACTCTAGCTATAGTAAAGATGATCAACCATTCTCATTTATCCTGATAGTCCTACTCTGCATTTATCCCAGCAGAACTTTCACTCTCAAGACAATTCTGGTTTGGTGGGTAAATTCTATAGTCACCCTAACTATAATAATTAAAAAGACAAGCTTTGCTTAGAACTAGATAGACCTTAAGTTGCAACCCAGCAAATGCCACTTACTTACAATACTAGCTGCAACTCACCTATAATGTACTTGGAGTATCAATTATTTTAAAAAGGCATTTTAAAACTGTAACAGTAATCAAAGGAACCCAAAATAATAAATTGAACAGTTTTCTCTAACTATGAAAATGTCACAATTGTCCAATTGTGCCTTTACTCCAAAGCTTATGGTGTCTGATAGAGAAGTGCATCATCAATACCCTAGGAATGCACATTTCAGAACCCCAACATTTACAGAGGGCTAAACACAGAAAATGTAGAATAAATGTATAATGTAATAGAAGTAGCTGCTATTGATTGCGTTCCTATTAACAGACCGCTGGCATAATAAATCCTCACTATGGCACTGAACAACTGGTTGCCATCAAGTCGATTCTAATTCATGGAACACCATTTGTCAGAGGAGAACTGCACTCTGGGTGTTCCATGGTTGTAGTCTCTAGGGGCCATGGGTGATGTAGTGGATTAGAAATGGGGTTGCGAACTACAAGGTCAGCAGTGTGAAACCACTTAGGTCACTCCGAGGTGGAAGGACGAGCCTTTCTTCACCCGTAAAGTTACAGTCTTGGAAACCCACAGGGGCAGTTCTACCCTGTCCTACAGGATTGCCACGAGTCAGAGATGACTCAATGAAATGAGTTTGGTTTGGATTTTGAATCTTTCAGAAAATGAATAGGCCTTTCTCCCAGGGAGCCATATGCCAACCACCCCAGTTTTCAGTTAGCAGACAAGCACTTAGCCACTTGAACCACCTCAGAAACTCCTACTGAACACCTGAAGACAGAGTTTATTCCCGTCTTACAGGTAAGGCACCCAAGGCATGAGGAAAGAAAAGTTTGATTTGTTCAAATCGTCACTTGTCCAAAGTGTAAAGGAAAGCAAGGACAAGAAGGCACTCTTGTCTAACTCTGAATAAACTTACTTTCCCTCCACTACAACAAACTCTATCCAGAGAAATACTCTAGTATCTGCTTCTTAGACGAATGCGTCTATCAACATCTATCAGGAGAGAAGAGGCAGGGAAAGTTTCTGACATGTCACATATTTCATTATAAAAATTATTTAACGTAAAGTTGAGGCACCCTCAAGGTTTAATTTAATGCTCCCTTTTCTTTAATCTTTGTAGTCATCCAGATCATAGAATCGTTCAGATGTAAGGGTAGTGAGATAGTTTATTGTGCCAGCCTGCCTGATAAACGCAGGTGGGATTGACTGAAGGGCAGAGAGATAAATGGCTTGGTGAGCCTTGCCTTTCTTGTCTCTAGCTCTGTGATCATCGGACCAGTGTGCGGCTGCCTTGCTTGTTCTGTGCCTCACTTTAAAGGCTACACTGCCTGTGGGACGCCTAGCCTGTGGACTGTGTCGCTGTAAGTTGAGGTCCCTTTAAGACATCTCTAGAGCTGGGGACTGGCGGTTGGTGACCTGCCTTGTGATTGGCTGCTGTGCTGACATAACCTAGCTCTCTCTACAAATAAAGGAAGATCTGGCATCAGACAGAGACTTGAAGGACTGCTAGTCTCTCAACTTTCTCTCACGGACGTGAGTTGCACTAAGCCATTTGTAGTGCTTTCTAATTTAACTGTTTATTTCTTGTATTGTATATTTATCTGTACTGTATATGATTTAACAGTTCATTTCTCGTTATATATCTAATTATCTTTATAAATAAATATATTAAATTATCAGGAATTTGGTTTTATCTCTCTAGAGAACCCTGTCTAACACAGGTAGAGTCAGGATTATATTTGCATTGAGCAACTAATACCAAATTAATACCAAGTTCACTTGCAAATATATTTTCATGTATTCAGTAAAAAAAAATCTGCAAGGTCTAATATTTGTTTGCCTCAATGGGTAAAAGCCATATAAGCATCAGTAAATTCAGCTATTAACTTGGGATCTAAAACAAATTAAAAAAGGAATTTCACATTAAAAAAAAATCAAAGAATCTGTGTGAAGACTCACATAACCTTACTGACCGTTTAGTCCAACCTCTCTCCATCACTAATTTTATATGAAATTGAAGGGCAAGTAAGAAAAAAAATAATCATTTTCCCATTTCCCTACCTCTCTAATGATATAATTAAGATTTATGTAAAAATATGTAAAACAAATAAAAGTTTCAAAGTAGTCATTTCAAAATACTAATCATTTTACATGTGCTTTTGAAAGCTAGCTGTCGAACTTATAAAGTTGAAAACAAATCCACTGACATCAAGTCAATTCTGACTCACAACCCTAATAAATAGTTTTCTAGGCTGTGAGCAGCTAGTGTGTTGGTACCATTGGCTTTGTAGTTACCAAGCAGCACAACAGTTACCCAACACAGCCATTAGGGCTCCTGCAATAAAGAAACCGTATTTAAAATTATAGTTTGATGGTCTGATTTCCAAGATATTTATCTTTATATTCTATGGAAGATACAACTGAGTATAGAGACTAGTACCAGTGTTTATTAAAGATCTAACTACTTTACAATATCTCATTAGAATAATCCTACACAACAGGTATTGAATACTTTCCCCATTATTTGAGATGAGAAATGCAAGCTGAAATCTATGAAGTAATTTACTTGTCCAAAGCCACAGCATGACTGCGTACTGGGCTGGAGCTGGGATTCAGAGCTAGGGCCGAGAGCAGTCACTCTTCATCAAAATAGAAAATAGGAAGAAAGAGCCTGATCCTGGACATTCCAGCTAGCACATGCCTGGCACGACTGTCAAATTTTAGTAAAGAGAAGTCTCAGCTATCAAGGCCGTCCGAGGACTAGGACCCTTCAATTTCCAGACTAAGGTTATCTACTTGGTAAGACCAAAACCAAACCAAACCAAAAGCACTGCCGTCAAGTCAATTCGGACTCAAAAGTATTGGAACTGCCCTACTTTTGTATTCAATTTTTTGGAGCTAACTGACAGCCACGGCGCTGGAAAATAGAAGATGTCTCTCCAGGAAATAAAGCCATCTTTTAATGAAGAAGTCTGTCCCTGCTGGTCTAAGCAAGGTTTTTCTGAAACCCTGAAAAACTCTCTACTATTTAATTGATTCTGACTCAGAGCCCCAAAAGGCCCAAGAAATGATTAGACACGGATCCAATTAGAAAATAATTGGATTAAAAATAAAAATTCCACATGCATCAACCCAAAAACATGAAAATGCAGCTAGGACCACAGCAATAATTGATTCTTGAAGCTTCCCCACTTAAAATTTAGAGACCTATTTGGAACTCCATCTTGGCCATCCTGAAATAACTATCATCTGTCATTCTTTAATTGAATAATATGATTCCTTCATATTAACTATAATGACAATGAAGACTATTGTCTCTTTTTAAAACTAACAGTGTTCTATCGTTATACTTTGGGACCACAAACTGTTGAAATATGTCTGAATAACTTAATCTGAACCTATGGCTTGAAAAAAATGCCAATTTTAACAAATACTTATCAACCTACTTATTAAAGCTAACAGCAATACAGCCCACCACTTTTTCTGACACACTACATATTTTATTATGAGGCTTCGCCTCGGAACTCCAGAGAAACCCAGGAGGATCACAATGGAGAGACTTAAAAGAAACTTACTTCGTCGGTCCCCTCATGGAGACCCTATAGGACAGAGTGTTAACTGCCCTGCCCCTGGGAGTTTTTGAGACTGTTTACAGGAGTAGAAAGCCCCATCTTTCTCCCTTGGAACAGCTGGT